ATATAGCCCTCGTGTAGCTTTGCGCGAAATTCAAAAACAAAACATACAATACATCTAAACCAAAACAAATGCAGTTGGATTAAACAGGTAAACTCGATTTCTTTATCCAGATGATTGCATCATCATATGTCTCTTGTTCTATTTTAGCATTCGCTGACTGTAACATACAGGCATATGCCTTTCGGCCAGCAAAGGATATTACAGCCAGTGACTCTTTCAACGTGAATGCACTTGAAACGAAAATTTTAAAAATTTGTATAGAAGAAAAGCAAGTCAAATTGTTCCTGCATTTCAAAGTATTGTGGTTTAAAAAGTGTGTCAAATTGAAATATATCTAAAAAGCATTCACCTTGAGATCGACAGATAGTACTGTTGTCTAATAGTGTTCAGCTTGACATGAGCAACTAGTATAAAAACGAACCTAGCCTCCGTGGCTGTAGGAGGGTATGAAGGTGGTAAAAACGAACCTAGCCTCCATGACTGTAGGAAGATATCAAGGTGATAAAAATAAACCTAATCTCCATGGCTGTAGGAGTATATGAAGGTGATAAAAATCGAATATTATAGTAGACTTTTTGTTAGAACAATATGTTACTACGTTTTTCAAGAAAAGATCCTTGTATGTTGTTAAATTGTGTAGAAACATTTCCAAGCAAGGAACTTTCGATGTTCTCTGTGGACAATCAATGAGCACAAAAACTACATCCTAACGTACTCCGAAACAGCATCTTTAACTATGTAATGAAAAATATGGTTACGAAAAAGAACCCTCCAAACCAAAAAAATCATTTTGATGAAGCTGGTCATGTCTTGTGGTACCATAAGCAAACAAACAACAAGGATTTGACATTATCGAAGGTTTACTAGCCAAAAACGCATAAGAATCCAGCCACACTTCAACTTCAATTGCTGTTTTCATCAGGCAAATATGATGGAATCAAAGCCACCCCATAGGCTCACATGCCTGCTAAATCGCGATAACGCTATATGGACTTTTCTGCATTTGACCTCCTTAATTAAACGTGTTTGTAGAAGTCGACGTTTACCTAAAATAGAGGTTCTGTGGTAAGATTCTCAACGTCTGCGGTCCAACCTTGTTACAATGGAAATTTTGATGTTGAATAATCACGTATATCAGAAACGCATGAATGTCTCTAGACTGTAGTATTAATGATAAATAGTAGGCTTATGGCTCTGTGTGTGTGAAGTTATAACTCACAGGTGTACAAGTAATATATATTTTGAAATTAAAGTGTATGTTTACTAACGCTACACATATACACGTAATAAGACACACACACAAAGGTGCAAATAATTAAAGCTGAAAAGTAGCGACACCTACAAACCTGGTTATCTAAACAGAGTAATTTCAAATTTGGAAGTTACTCTATAAAATATAATATCTACAGACTTATGTTTCTATCAATTAATATCAACTTCCAATTACAGAAAATACCTAATACGAAACTAAAACCGACTTCGCGATTAGTATAACTAATTAAATATGCTTTTCTTACATTTCTTCTTGTCAATAATAATAATAATTTATAACCACGTTACGTGTTGTAAACAATATATATATATGTTTATCGCCAAATAATCCACTTATAATTAAGTTTTTTTTTATCAATTTTAGCAATATGTGGTGGAGATGTTGTAATGGAAGAAGGAGTTCTACAAAGCCCAAATTATCCGGAAGATTACAGACCGCACAAAGAATGTGTATGGAAAATAAACGTACCAGAAACATATCAGGTGGCGCTTCACTTCCAATCGTTTGAGGTAAATGTTCTTAAGTTTTATTCTTTATAGAAGCAGTTTACAGTTTGAAAGTGGTATCGTTGAGTTTTGTCAAATTTCTGGTCAATTTCGAATCATTAAACCATTTCAAATTCGTGACTTTTATATCCTTCACATCCTCTCCGATATCAACGGACCGTTTCGAATTTATGAGTGTTATATCATCCTAGCTTGTATCAAAATTATCCAAACATGCGGCGCGACATGTTTTCATATTATGTAGAAGTCTGTTCTTTTCTACAAACATTGTTTTTACCAGTTATGATCTACTGGTAGCTAACTTCTTATTGTTGTTTTTTAACTTTTCTACCTTGGCTTTTTTTCACTTATTAGCAGACTGGTTTTCTACCGTTTGGCTAAACCTACAGTAGAAACGTAGGATAAGAGAAGGTTCGCTAAATTTGTACAGCAAGTATTCAAGTTTACTGTTTTGATAATATTATAGACCTTAACATTTTGGTTCAATTTTACTGTTTTGATAATATTATAGACCTTAACATTTTGGTTCAACTTTACTGTTTTGATAATATTATAGACCTTAACATTTTGGTTCAAGTTTTACTGTTTTGATAATATTATAGACCTTAACATTTTGGTTCAACTTTACTGTTTTGATAATATTATAGACCTTAACATTTTGGTTCAACTTTACTGTTTTGATAATATTATAGACCTTAACATTTTGGTTCAAGTTTACTGTTTTGATAATATTATAGACCTCAACATTTTGGTTCAACTTTACTGTTTTGATAATATTATAGACCTTAACATTTTGGTTCAACTTTACTGTTTTGATAATATTATAGACCTCAACATTTTGGTTCAACTTTACTGTTTTGATAATATTATAGACCTTAACATTTTGGTTCAAGTTTACTGTTTTGATAATATTATAGACCTTAATATTTTGGTTCAAGTTTACTATTTTGATAATATCATAGACCTTAATATTTTGGTTCAACTTTACTGTTTTGATAATATTAGAGATCTTAATATTTTGGTTCAAGTTTACTGTTTTGATAATATTATAGACATTTAACATTTTGGTTCTGCCTCTGGTTTACCAAAATCTAATTCATTAACTAATTAACCAGGGTTTAACTAACATACAAACTTTTTTCCTTCTTTAATGTCTAAACAGGGATATCAAGTTTGCATGCGAATTCTCTTTATCTGGCTTTACTGTGACAGTGAAACGTTTTCGAGTCATGCCCTGTATTATAAATTTGATAGTTTCCTTCATTTTACTTATCATATAAACAATAGACAATACAGTTTTCGAACGATGATATTAGTTTTAAGAGTAAACTATTAAATCTTAGAATCTTTATTGAAGAGCTTAGGAAAACTCAGTTTCGAAGGTCGATTTTATTTATCTAAAAGACGTAATGCAAACTGCAATAAAATTTTTATGAGTAAATAGTTAATCCGTTAAAAAATGGAGAGTAATTTAATATTTCTTTTGATAACAAGTGAAGCATGAGATTTCTGAAAATGTGAGACAACAATTTTTTGTTTTTTTTACATGTATCTTTATTTTTCATCAGATCGAGAACCACGACAACTGCGTTTATGACTACGTGGAGATCAGAGATGGACATTACGTCACGAGCCCTCTACTAGGAAAATTTTGTGGATATAAGATTCCAGATGAAGTCCATTCGAGAACAAATAAGATGTTGGTTAAATTTCATTCTGATGCGTCAGTCGAAAAAGCTGGATTCTCTGCAACCTTCATCAAAGGTTCGGTTCTAGATCGTGAATCAACTTAGGTCTAGTTCGTGAAGATGGACATAACATAGAACAGGCCCAGTACGTAAAGATGGACGTAATATAGAACAGGTCCTTTTCGTAAAGATGGACGTAACTTTTAACAGGTATAGCTCGTAAAGATGGACGTAACTTTGAACAGGTATAGTTCGTAAAGATGGACGTAACTTTGAACAGGTATAGCTCGTAAAGATGGACGTAACTTTGAACAGGTATAGTTCGTAAAGATGGACGTAACTTTGAACAGGTATAGTTCGTAAAGATGGACGTAACGTTGAACAGGTCTAGTTCGTGAAGATGAATGTAACATAGAACAGGTCTAGTTCGTGAAGATGGATGTAACATTAAACAGGTATAGTTCGTGAATGTTACATCCATCTTCACGAACTAGACCTGTTCTATGTTACATTCATCTTCACGAACTATACCTGTTTAATGTTACATCCATCTTGAACAGGTCTAGTTCGTGAATATGGATGTAACATAGAACAGGTCTAGTTCGTGAAGATGGATGTAACATTGAACAGGTCTAGTTGGTAAAGACTGACGTAACATAGAACAGATATAGTTCGTGAAGGTGGATGTAACTTTGAACAAGTCCTGTTCGTGAAGATGGACGTAACTTTGAACAGTTTTGGTTTGTAAAAGATGAATGTAAATATATAAAGTAGGAATATTTAGTAGAAATGTAACTTGTGGACTTCTGTATAACGTCACTGGAACAAATTATTTCATAAGATATTCATAGCCAAACGTTAAGTTACTCTTTATATCCCCGAAAGTAATGGTTTGATCTTTTGTTCGGTTATTTCCTGTGTAGAATACGACGTGTGTTCTGGCAAGAATCATGGGTGTGAACACACCTGTATCAACACCTTGGGTCACGGGTGTGAACACACCTGTATCAACACCTTGGGTCACGGGTGTGAACACACCTGTATCAACACCTTGGGTCATGGGTGTGAACACACCTGTATCAACACCTTGGGTCATGGGTGTGAACACACCTGTATCAACACCTTGGGTCATGGGTGTGAACACACTGTATCAACACCTTGGGTCACGGGTGTGAACACACCTTTATCAACACCTTGGGTCACGGGTGTGAACACACCTGTATCAACACCTTGGGTCATGGGTGTGAACACACCTGTATCAACACCTTGGGAGGATATAGATGTGAGTGCAAAGGTTTGATCTTTTGTTCGATTATTTCCTGTGTAGAATACGACGAGTGTTCGGGCAAGGGTCATGGGTGTGAACACACCTGTATCAACACCTTGGGAGGATATAGATGTGAGTGCAAGATTGGGTACGAACTCCATTCCGACGGGAAGAAATGTGAAGGTAGAGACCACTTGACTACAAGATTTGAAATGTCATATAATATTTTTGTTATGTTTTAAAACCATGTTTCTTGACCATGGAAAAAATGTTAAATTGTAAAGGTCTGTTGATATATTTGAATTATCATGGATATCTTAAACAGTAGTAGTTTGTAATTATGATAGTAGATTTCATTTGGAGCCGGGCGTGACTTAGTTATTACCTTGCTGGGTTGTGGATCCATGTTTCGCTGTCCGTTACAGGAAAAACCAATTAAGTAAGAGTGAAAAACATAAAACCGACGTCTTTTGGCACAATAAAAGGTACAAACTTTATTATTTACAGACTTGTTTTAGTAACACAGTTACCATCCACAAAGTAGTATCTGGTAGACGCTAGCCCTGATGATGGTAGCAGCGTTACTGAAACTGATCTGCTGTAACTAATAATAAAGATTTTACCTTTCATTGTGACAAAAAAACGTCGGTTTTTGTATTGTTTTTCAACTCTTAATATAGTAGCACAACGTGTTTGAAAAGAAATTATAAAAACAATTAAATCACGCTCTACACTTCGGGACCGTGGGTGCATTATAAGAGTGGCAGTAAAACCCTACTATTCTATTAGAATGCCCAAGAGTTGACTGTGAGGGCTGTTGAGTAGCTGCCTTCCCTCTAGTCTATCAGTTTAAAATTGGAACGGCTATCACAAATACTTCTTGAGTGAATATTTAAAATATTCAGTCAACATTTTACTAGAAATAAAAGAGTAGGTGAAAACATGGGAAAATCACACATACTTCTTGAGTGAATACTTGAAATATTCAGTCAACATTCTACTAGAAATAATAGAGTAGGTGAAAACAAAGGGAAATCGCAGATACTTCTTGAGTGAATACTTGAAATATTCAGTCAACATTCTACTAGAAATAATAGAGTAGGTGAAAACATGGGAAAATCACACATACGTCTTGAGTGAATACTTGAAATATTCAGTCAACATTCTACTAGAAATAATAGAGTAGGTGAAAACATGGGAAAATCACAGATACTTCTTGAATGAATACTTGAAATATTCAGTCAACATTTTACTAGAAATAATAGAGTAGGTGAAAACATGGGAAAATCATTCATACTTCTTGAGTGAATACTTGAAATATTCAGTCAACATTTTACTAGAAATAATAGAATATGTGAAAACAGAACAGCTAGATGTTTTGGTTCAAAATACATAAAGATAAACGTGCCGAGCTAGGATTATCAGACATCTAACATTTTATATTTTGTAATAAAATGCGCAGACGCCTGTGGAGGATTTATTGATGCAGCGAATGGAACCATTACCAGCCCTTCCTTTCCTGACCTGTACCCTCAAAATAAAAAGTGTGTATGGGAAATTACCGCTCGACCACAATTCCAAATTACCCTGAACTTCACGCACTTCGACTTGGAAGGAAATAACGTAAGTAGTTATAGTTAGTTATTATTAGATGAATGTGAGGATGATGTTTGATTTTAAACTACATCCAGGTTTAATGCGTTCATATATGTAGAAGTACTCCATCGTCAGTATTTTGTGGAACTGCCAGATAGCTTAACCTGCCGATACATTTCTTTGACGATCTGAATGTAAGCTACATTTTTAACAAGAATTAATGTAATAACCTAAAATCATTGTTGATTATTTAAGGAACTTAAAGCAAATGTATTTAGTAGGTCACACGTACACATTTGTGCACTGGTTAATCAACAGAAAATTTCTGATGTGGTGTGTGAAATTAAAGAAAATGTGTTTAGTACGTCACATGCGTACTTCTGTGCTGCTTCATAAACAGGATATTTATAATGTGGTATATGTGTGTGCGATAACTGAAAGTCAAAGTCAGTACAAATTCTTATCAGCAAACTAACACTACACCACTTAGAGAAGGTAATAATAATAATAATAGCAGTAAATGAACAGATAACTGCCATACTTTATATACACCTTGAACGTTACTGCTGAAGTAAAACAACACATCTAAAAATAGGAAACTTGTACAAATAACTACATACTTTATATACACTTTGAACGTTTCTTTTTCTTAGCAAGACTGTGAGTACGACAGTCTAGAAATTCACAGTAAAATGGACGACAATGTAGTTAGAAAACATGGAATATTCTGTGGCTCCCGTTTGCCACCTATCATAACTTCGGAAGGAAATAACCTTCGAATTGAATTCAACTCTGATAATTCGGTTCAGAAAAGTGGATTTGCCGCAGTATTTTTCACAGGTGAGAACTTTCTGTTGTTTCTCCTAAATTTAGGTTCTGTTGGCTTAGTGGGATACTTAAAAATACTCAAAAGGTGAAATTAATCACGATTAATAAAGATGGTGATGAACGATGCCGAATAGTAAATTTAACTTGTTGATGATATTATTGATTCAATTTTAGTAAAGCTTAGAGACAAATTTGTCATGTGATAACGTAAAATTATGATGTGTTCGACAACGATGTGATATAAGATTGTGATGTGTTTGACAACGATGTGATGTATGATTATGTGTTTTGACAACGATGTGATGTAAGTCTATGACGTGTTTAGTTTCTCTGTTTTCTCTTGTAATTTTTTAAGGTGGACTGAATAAAACGATTTTTACATTGACAACGATGTGATGTAAGACTATGACGTGTTTTGACAACGATGTGATGTAAGATTATGACGTGTTTTGACAACGATGTGATGTAAGACTATGACGTGTTTTGACAACGATGTGATGTAAGATTATTATGTGTTTTGACAACGATGTGATGTAAGATTGTGTGTTTTGACAATGATGTAATGTAAGACTGTGACGTGATTTGACAACGATGTGATGTAAGATTATGATTTTAACAACGATATAATGTAAGACTATGGTGTGTTTTGACAACGATGTGATGTAAGATTGTGTGTTTTGACAATGATGTGATGTAAGATTATGATGTTTGACAATGATGTAATGTAAGACTATGACGTGTTTTGACAACGATGTGTTGTAAGATTATGATTTTTGACAACGATATAATGTAAGACTATGACGTGTTTTGACAACGATGTGATGTAAGATTAAGGTGTGCTTTGACAACGATGTGATGTAAGACTATGACGTGTTTTGACAACGATGTGATGTAAGACTATGGCGTGTTTTGACAACGATGTGATGTAAGACTATGACGTGTTTAGTTTCTCTGTTTTCTCTTGTAATTTTTTAAGGTGGACTGAATAAAATGATTTCTACACATTGTTAACACTACAAGTTACAGTGACGGTGAACTCCAAAACTGTTCATAAACACTTATAACTGTTAAAAAAACAGGTGCCTGAAGTTGAAAATAATCTACCCAGTTACTTTCAAATCCAGATTATTCAATAACACATGCTATAAAATTGAAAGATGTGATATTAAATTATATCTGTTCGATTATTCTGATATAATGTACTCATCTAATTAACTCTTTATTTTCAGGCTGTATTGTACTGAAACCATTAGTAGTAGTAGTATTATACCGAAACTAAACTTCGATATAAAATTCTTACCCCACATTCTTCTCCCCCAGACAAAGACGAATGTACCACAGATAACGGGGGATGTCAACACATCTGCAAGAATGCGATAGGAAGTTATATGTGTGCTTGCCATAATGGCTTCATTCTTCATGAAAATCGACATGACTGTAAAGAAGGTAAGTTTGTGCGTGTGTTGGGGTCATTAGTCTCTTATCTCTTCTTGTAAGCGGTAAATTTGTTAGTCACTCACACTAACTCAAAGTGTGAAAAGCAAATTTTGAACTTGTTCTATAAATCATAAAATCGATATTTTCTCTTTATATAACTGATCTAATGGCGACCCCGTTGAGGTAAGGAGATACGGTGTATTGATGGTTTCTGGTTTATCTCCGCGTCTGTAAATAGTTTTTCACAATAATACTAAGTCTGAAACAAACTTGTAAGTTTTCTTGGTCTGTACTTCGAGTGTAGTTTCTATGAGATCTTTATTTTAAGAAATGATTTCACCTCTTGTCATCTCCATTGTCAGGCCTTTGATCCATAAAGAGAGTTCATTTCTAAAAACAACAAACTCAGAAATTTACTGTTATTGAAAGGGAATTGTTTCTTATAAGGAAGCTGCACTCATCACATCACTTCCTCCATTGGAGAGATTATCAGCCCTAACTACCCAGACTTCTACCCCAGCAGGAAAGAATGTGCGTGGTTATTCACCGCCACTCCGGGACACAGAATCAAATTGGTGACTATTTCTCCTTTACATATTTTGTTATTAAATAACATTCTCTTATTCAACATAATATGTTCACTTTTGAAACGTTTATTACTCCTGTATAGACTGATTACTTCATTATAAACGTTGTCTCCAAAGTATTATCTATTACTCGGATATTTTTGTCGCCAGCGCTACCTGTGTGTCTGATAGTGTTATACACTTATGTATAGAACTTACAAACATGTGTGTCTGATAGTATATCATTCGTGTTATACACTTATGTATAAAACTTACAAAC